GGGCTGTGGGGCTTCTGGAAGCAGAGTTTGTCAGCTGGTGTCAGGGGGAGCTGATCTCATGCTTATCTGATGGCAAAACATGGCTAGCAAACTGCTGATGTTTCCTCAGTGTTGATAGGTAAGTGAGGCTCCAGAGCAGTATCATACCAGCTTAAACATGCACATTTCCAGACAGGTGTTCTGAACGTGGCTTCTAAAGTGGGAAGAACAAAAGCCTGAAGTAGAGAATAAAGTGCTGGCCCTGATCTGGCAATGTGACATGCATTCAGTAAATGAGTGAGATCTGCTCAGGTGTCTGTTGGCCACAGGTGTGGTTGAAGTGGCCCCTATTGCAGGTCGGAGAACTCCTCTTGCTGGAATGGGCAAAGAATAGCAGTGAGGGAATACTTGCTATTACAAGCATGCTGGCTACTAGCCGTCCGTGTATTAGCAGTTCTAGAGCTGTGAAGCCATATTTCCGTAATAAAAATGGAAAATAATACCTTTATGGAGACGGCCTCAAAGTTGCAACTGACCTACAGTTCATTATAGTGATTGCTTTTGAATCATTTAAGGCAGAGGGTAAGAAGGTGGTGCGGGTGCCCGAGACATCTATTTAGGATGAATTGCCAAAGCTTGGAGGTAACTGTGTTTTTTAACATTCACCCATTGCTCAGGGGCTTCTGAGAGTGTCATGTTCCTGCTAGCTGGCCATTTGGCTCACCCGTGAAGTGGTAGTGACATCTACAAAACCTGGATGAGTTTAACACATTCCAGCCCAGTAGCCACTTGGAGCACAATGCACCCATTGAAGAGGTTGGGGGTTTATTTGTAGGCTTATGAAAAAGAAGGGAAGACCATAATGTCTTCTGAGAAAGCCATTTTATGGAGATCTCGTGCACAGCAGCCACAGAAGCGAGCTGTTAGCTGAAGGCTTGCTTGCTTTTTTTTTAAACTATGAACAACATTCAGAGATACCCTATTTCTTTGATAGCTTTCAGTACTGGTTGTGACCAAAATTAAGTGCAGAGGTACAGGGGGCTTTCTGTGTGAGCATAACTTTCGTATCAGTTCCCACACAGAGAGGAGAACATAGCTGTAAATGCACGGGTAAAATATCAAGCAGAGATTTCTCTCCTTAAAGACAATTGTGTTTGTTTCCCCTCCTGCTAATTATATCCTATAAATCCCCCACTCTCCAAACTCAGTAACATTTTGTTACCTACATTCTGTCAGTAGACTTTACAAAGATCTCTAACACATGTTATAAAAGTTATTGCTATAGTACTATATATAACAGCTTTGCATAAGAGAATAGAAGGCTGCCACATTTAGAAAATGCAGGTGCTATGTAAGCCCCTTTCTGAAAGAAAGAACTTAGCTCAGTTTCCTTTGAAGAACCAGAGACTTGAAATTGAAAACTGTATTAATGCCATTGTCTCCTTGTATCAGCAGGTTCCAGAGAGATTCCTGGAAGTGGCTCAGATCACGTTACGGGAGTTTTTCAATGCCATTATCGCAGGCAAAGATGTTGATCCTTCCTGGAAGAAGGCCATATACAAGGTCATCTGTAAGCTGGACAGTGAGGTCCCTGAGATTTTCAAATCCCCAAACTGCCTACAAGAGCTTCTTCATGAGTAGAGAGTTCAGCAGCTATTTATGAATGTATGAAAGTAGCAGTCCCCTTCTGATGCCCAAGTCATGTGTGTCTCTATTTTAATTTCATATATATGTGTATTGCATACATATATATATGTATATGAAAATAGACTGTGATCCCTCCTGGATTTAAGTTTTCATTCAGTTCCAAGGGGATGGTTATTTTACTTCAGCCTTCGGTTTACTTTTGCCCGAGACCCTTAACATTTGGAGAATCAACGGGGTTAATTTTCAGGGAGAAGAGTTTGGAAGCGTGTAAAAGCCTGTCTTAGCAAGTTAGGGCATTATGTTTAAAAATGCTTTGTCAGATTTATTGCTTGCTGCAAAGTGGCATTTCGTCTTAGTGAGACTAATGTCATGGCACAATACTACAGACAATGAAGTTTATATTATGTTTATACTGCTAAAGGTCTGAACTCTGTGGAGTCACTTCATAAGCTTCAAGCTTTTTTTTTTTTTTTTTTTTTTTTTTATATACTTTTTAACCAATAACTAGATTTTGTTTCGTACTTCAAAAAACTACAACATCTATTTTAGGTACTCACTGCGAGAAGTGATACCCAAAAAAGCAAACCCTATTCTTCATGCTTTCCTTACAGAAATGATAAATACCCTGCACCAGTAATCAACATGCCAGGTTGTTGTTTCTCTAAACTGCAGCAAGGGACATTTGCACAAAACAAATACCATTCTTGCAGGGTGAGGCCAGTAATTCATGCACAATATTGTATCAGCCACACTAATTTTGGAATATGGTCAGCTTACTAAAGCGGAAGCATTTCACTCTCCATAGAGTAAAAATGAAACCTTCAGCATCCTATATTGCCATGTCTTGGTCTTACTTTAAGTGGCATTAGTTCCTAAATTTATTCTTTTCTTAGTCCATTCTGCCCCCAAAAATCCCCTTTCCAGAATACAAAGTTTTCTGTCTGTATTCGGCATCTGTCCTGAAAGCACTTTTTGAATTATCTTAGACATAGTAGAAGAAAGTGTCTTCACCTCACAAAGAAAAAAAAAAAAGGCTTGTTTGTAGCTGTAAAATATAATTAGTCTTTTCCTAATAAGAAGAATAAAAATTACATTTTCATAAAAATCTAATCAAACATATACAAAAATCACAGTGTCCTCCTGGCTATGCAGGGTTCAGATAGCCAAACTGGATCTTTAAAATTACAGTAAGTGCGGCTTTAAAAAAAAGAATATCTATTTGAGCAATGTGCTGCACTTGTCTTCTGAAGCTGGAGCTAGTCTTGACCAAAATCTGAGCTACAGTGTAAAGTCCATGATGGATCTGGGTTCACCTGAATGCTCCACCACGATATGTCGGCAGACAGAAAGAAAGCTAGCTGCTAGTTCTCATGCTTTCTCAAGTGGCTCTACTTTTCTCATGTTTTCAGAAAGGTATCGTCTCCAGAAGTTTGGGGGAAGGTTGAATATGCTATGGCACTCTGTATTTGTCATTTTCTCTGTCGTCTTTTGTACGGATGCAGTAAGAATTTATTGTTATAGTCAATAGTATTTTCCCCTTCATAATTCAATCTGAATCTAGAGGAAGATCCTAATGAGCTGTGAATTATATTTAGACCATTGAGGATATTGGTATCTTATTTCTTTATTTTAAAATTACATTTTGACTTTGGAGAGTGAAAGTTTACCCATGTGACTAAAGAGCTGACCTGATCATTGCAATTTCGCTTCATTTACAAATACTGCTGATAGACAGAAATGTATGAAAGCAATTATTGTTAGCAGAAAGCCTTAAAAACCTGCTGACTTCAAATTAAACAGCACAATCCTACGATTCCCTGTCATTCTTTTCAAGCACTGGCAGTATCTGTAGAGTATAAGCAATGCAGACAATAGCATGGGATGAAGTGCCAACATTTTCACTATGCATTAAAAGCAAAACAAATCTTCTTGATCTTAAACTCCCTGAGAGTACCTAATACTGTACGTATCCTTACAGTTGACAGGATTTGTCTTTTTCTTTCTTTTTTCTTTCTTTTTTCTTTTTCTTTTCTTTTCTTTTCTTTTCTTTTCTTTTCTTTTCTTTTCTTTTCTTTTCTTTTCTTTTCTTTTCTTTTCTTTTTTTTCTTTTCTTTTTTTTCTTTTCTTTCTTTTCTTTTCTTTTCTTTTCTTTTCTTTTCTTTTCTTTTCTTTTCTTTTCTTTTCTTTTCTTTTCTTTTCTTTTCTTTTCTTTTCTTTTCTTTCTTTTCTTTTCTTTTCTTTTCTTTTCTTTTCTTTTCTTTTCTTCTTTTCTTTTTTCTATTCTTTTTTATTTTCTTTTTTCCTTTCTTTTCTTCCATTTTCTTTCATTTTCTTTATTTCTTGGGGTTTTGGTTTGTTTTTTTTTTTGTTCATTATTTGGTAAACATTACACTTCATAAAGATGTAACTCCAATGCATTCTGAGTAAGAAAGGATGAAAATTGTGTTCATGCACTTTTTTGATTTATGGGAAGAAGTGGCATAAAATGCTCAAGTTTTAATACAGTAAGTTCATCATTGGCATACCATCAGATACAAAATACAACACTGCATTGTCACCTTGGACATGAGAAAGCAAAGCCATACTTTAGTCATAATATGTGGACGTACTACTAGCTACCATCTCAATCTGTGATTTTACCGTTGCTTTTACTATGTTTATTATTATTATTAATATTATTATTATTTTATTATTTGGCTGCAATATGATTCACATAATCTAAATAAGTGAAAATGTGTACTCAACACTTGATGTTGTTGCATTTATTTATTTATTTATAAGTAGCATAATCTCAGTAGTAAATGAGGCATAGGAATTAAGAGTAGAAATTTCATCTTAAAAGCAAAATAAAAAACCTCCTTGGTCTGAAAAAGGAATAAATGATAATTTGATCTTTTCAGTTATGTGATTTTTCTGCATTTTATAGCCATATTGCCTTTGTGCCTCCCAATACACCTAAAATTATAAATAGATGGCATAGCTCCTACTAAATTGCAAGTAGAAAGCAGTTTCTTTCAAATTATCTCAATATTATTTCACTAAAAATGGCTAAAAGGCAGAGGCTACTTTTATTGTATTTAAAAGTTTACATAGGGAAAGGATTTCAAAATCCACGTAGAAACCCCATGTTGCCATTCATTTAATGCTAATTCAGATTTATTTCTGCGTATAAACTTGAGGTTATAGTCTGTGCCTAGACCTTAAATGCACCAGCGGAAGGATAAAAAAAATCCTTCAAAATACCAGTTTTTCCCCCACAAGTACAGTTGTTCTTGTGCCTTCTGTGGCTTACAATTTTCATCTTTTAAACTTTATTTTTCAATTACTACAGCTGCAATAAACACTGTTGTTTTTTTTTTTTTTTTTTTTTCTTTCCGGCTGTGTGACATAATGTTGATAGCTATGCATATTTTGTGTCTTTTTAAAAACTAAAAAAATAAAAAAACACACACAAAAAAAAAAAAAAAAAAAACACACAAAGCAGGAGAATACGTTTTTGAAGAAGAGAATTTTTAGAACAGTTTGATAACGCAAATTATTTTTTCTCAATTGTTTGAGCAGCATTCAAGTTTTGAAAATTCTTGTAGAAGCCAATTTTTTGTAACTGTGGTGCAAATCTTGTGTTTTCTTAGCCTGATGAAAAGTAGTATAGAAGCAATATTTCATACGTGACATGTGCATATACATATACATATGTAGTCACACACAGAAACAAAATGTGTGGGTGTATGTATGTATATATACACAGAAACACACACACACACAAAATATGCGTATGAAGTGAAAAGCTTACCTTTTTCCTATCTAGATTAAGAACCTATTTTAGACATTTGTTATGTTTTGTGAAAAGAATGTTCTATTTGAAACTACAAAACATTTAATTCTTACTGTATCTCTGGTTGTTTAATGGGAACGTTTCACATTTAATGGTAAACACGTGGAAGATGTTAGAATGTAGTAATTATTTAAGAACATGTTCACCCATGTATTCCTGAGGTTTGCTTTGTGCCTCTGAGTATTATTTAATTAAAGTGTTTTAAGTTTGCAGAATCTTTGTTACTGTACCAGGTATGTGGGTGAACATTGAAAATCGAGGGGAACTTTTATAAAGCAATGTAAATATTCAACCTTACGGCTGTTCTTGCATAAAGACATAAGATTTTAATAACTACATTCTGAAAACATCTGTTGAATTTATAAGAAACACTACAGTAACTGTATAGATAGTTGAAAGCATTCTTGAAAATCCAGCTCTCTACTTTTAAAAGTTAAGTCTCTTTCATCAGATGTCAAGGGAATGGGTAATACAGTTTCTGTAAAATTGCAGAATTTTTTTCTATGTATATGAAGTCAGTTAATAGAAAAATGTTTTTTTTCCACAGGTTAATATTAATTAAGAAATAAAGGTGAAGATTTTGTGGCTTTAAAGATAGGATTTTCACCAGCAGCATTGAAAGATTATACATATATATATATACAGAAAGATATATATATATATTAAAAACGGAAAGTGGTTTACAAAACCCCCAAAATGAGCACTGTACATGAGAAGTGAAAGCAAAAACTATATTTGCCATGTGTATTATATAGCAATCATTGGTGTTAATAGTGCAAATGTTTCCTTCTGGTACCAACTATGTGTTTGAAAATTCCAATACGCATTGTTTTCAAAAAGCTCCCCTTAAGGAATGTAACTGGTTTATATGAGTAAGCAGTTACTGTATTGCACTTAAATGTTCTGTTGAAGGAAATGCAATTTTGTTTTCTGTAGAACTGTTGGTTGTAAACCATCTATAAACTGAAGCTAAAAATGCTCATATTTAGAGCTGGGATGAAAACTGGTATTTAACCTTTGTATCTTCTTAGGAATATCCTTTTTAGTGTATGAAAGGTGGTGGCACTATGACTTTATTTAGTCTTTTCATCTGAGCCACAGTCACCTCTCTCCCGAAGCAGCCACCTTCTGAATGCACAAATATACTGGGATATGTAGAAACAAATCTAGAAGAAACAGCAAGCTTACATTTTTCTCTAAAATCCATCCTTTCTGCGTTAATTGTACCACTCAAGTGAGATATTAGACAAACACAATAACCATCTCATTACCATATAACGTGTAAGAGTCAGAAACTAAAAAAGAAGGAAGAAAACAAAACCTCTTTAGGTTGGTTTTAATGCTGCCCAGAAGAGTCAAAGGTTAAGGTTTAAACTGATATTGTCCCAGCCATTACTCATATGTATATAGTTACAAAAGTGACAAAACACTGCCTTTATATTATTTAGCAATATGTTGTAAATAGCATTATTAAGCTCTTTTTTTGTAATAAAGACCCTTTAATTTGAAGATAGTACAATAACTGAACTGATAAAGTCAATTTTTGATTTTTTTTATTTTATTTTTTAGCTAGAGGCAATTTCAACTGTAGATTTTTTTGTTGTTGTCTATTGTTCTGAAGACTTTGCATAATTTATTGGTTTAATTTATCCTAATTTATTTGATGAAGGTGTACAATTTTGTATTACCAAGGATGTACTGTAATATTAATTGATTACAAGATAAAACAATAAGACTCCCCTGTCCGTTTTGAAAAAAAAGGTGCAGTAGACAATTGATTGAAAAAAGTTACAATTCTAGCTTGGCAGCTACTAAATTTAAGATAAACACAGGAAAAATGTTGGGGGGGGAGGGGGGTTGGATTTTATTTTGTGTGTTTAAAGCTTTTGTATACTCTCCAGACTTTTACCTTTTTGCTTTGTACCACTTAAAGGATACAGTAGTTCAATTGCCTTGTGTGCCTTCCATCTTCTCTAAACTGAATGTATGTGCAGTATATATGCAAGCTTGTGCAAAATAAAATATAAATTACAAGCTCATTGCCATTGTTTATATTTATTTCCAAAAGTTTACGTTGCCCCCTATCAAGAGGTGAACCATTGAACTTCTCTGCTGCAGCCAGGCTGTGCCTAACACTAGTCCTCTGAAGGTTTTCTTTTCCCCTTAGTTCAAATTATTTATTAATGAAACTGCCAGCCCTCTTGCAAAATGGATATAATGATTTATCTAATCCGGTGTCCTACCCCCAGCACCAGTTAAGATAATGAATGTTATTTTGCAATAGTCTATCAGACAAGGAATAACTCCCTGCAAGAGACATGCTATGTCTGAGGCATAGACAGCCCTTTAAATTAAATGTAGCCAACCTGAGCTAGAAGGTACTTCTCTTTATGATGTTTAATCATTTCCTCAGTATATGTGCCATGCTGGTGTCCTGCAACAGGGAGTTCCACAAGTCAAGTGGATGTAGAATAACTCTTGTTTTGATGTAGTTCACGTTTGTTCCTGTTATTCATTTGCCTTTGTTAGTGGTAGTGTCCAGATACCATTCTCTATTATTTTTATTAGAATCTATCACTCCTTGGATCACTTCCTTTTCAAGCTGTATAATCATTAGCAATATATGTAACTAATTTGTTCTTACATATTTCCTCAAAATGCAGATCTCATTTGTTCATTGTTTTTCTCTAATCCTTCACTACTTCTGCTGTTTCATATGTATCTTAAAATTTTGAGGTTGAGTGAAAGTTTGATTTACATATATTGTCTGCATTTCAGATATGAATGGTCTCTGTTTGGCTTAGAGTTGGTGCAGATGGCAGTAAGACGGTAGCTTATTTGGATCACAAAATCATACAAGAATTTTCTGGTTTTGAAGAAGGAGCATGTTAAAAATAAGTTTTCATCAGAGGTAATTTATTTTCAGAATCTTCCCCAATTCAGCCTCAAGACACTGTAGAGCTGAGCTGAAGCCTGAATCCAGATTTAGCTACACTGTAACAGCCAAATAAATACTTCATATCTGCAACAGCATTTAAAACTCCATGTGTTTTTATACAACTGGAGTTGCATTTGCTGGGCCACATCAACACCAGGTGTAAAAGAGGTCTGTGAAAGGTCATGAAGTTGCATCCACGTAACTAATAGTCATTTAGGTGTAAATTCTCTGGTTTTACTACAAACAAATTGCCTCTCCTAGTTCACATCTATTCACATTACCAACCCAACATACTAGAAGCATTTTCAGGTCAAAATACCTGACATTCAGGTCATTTCTTAAGGAACTGTCTGCCCCACAGCCCTTACTAATTGTCTGTGTAGTCAGGAGGTTGCTAAGACCGTGGCACGGTGAGCAGGGCAGACTGCAGTGTCTGGAATGAGGAGCGTGTCAAGGACCCTGGCTCATCCACTCCAGAAAGCCTCCGGCCTTGAGGAGGTTCTCTGCCAATCTTGGTTCAGAGAAAGCACAGGCATCCCGGGAGGGAGCTGCCGGGAAACCATGAAAATGCTTTTCTTGTCAGAGGGAAGCCAAAGAGAGGGTGAGGGGACTAAAACCAGGCAACTGGTTAAGCATGTCCTAGCAAAGGGTTACAGAGGCGGCTACAGATTACATGGGAGGGCTCATTATTGTGTTAGCTATCAAGGTTTAACGAGATGAAGGAGAGGGGGATCATCCTCAGGTGCCCAGTTAATGGACCAAAGGACACGAGCTCCAAGGGTAATTGCTAGCTCACACTGTCCCCTGATCAGTTTTTCTCTCACATATACTAGTTCTATGTAAAACAAGATGCTATTTGCCTCTTTACCCTGCAATGGAAAGCACACAGATCTCTAAATAAGAAATCCTAGCTATTGGCATCTCAAAATACTGCAGGAGTTCAGAGCTAGACTGGAACTTGGCAAGTAGTCTCTGTCATCACAGAGGGCCAAATCAACTTTCCCAGGCTTCAAGCACCCTGAAATCATCCAAATTCTGCAGATCTGGCCATCTGTGCTTGGAAATCCTCAGTTCCCCTAATACCTGGAATTTTTACAATAAGGAAGATACTATGTTCTAGCTTAAAAATCATAAGGAAGACACGAATCGTCTCTCACCAAGGCAAACAGCAATTTTACGTCACAGCGATCATCACTAGGAGCTGGGGTCTTTTACACTTCACATTACTGTGAAGCCGAATGTAGAAGACTGCATTTTGTGATTTGAGAGCCTGAAAGAGTTAATCGCTCTCGTTTTCTTGGTCTGTACCCTTATTTATGCCCAGTCTAGGTTGTGCCAACACAATTTCTATGGAGATGATCCCTTCTGATCCAGTCTTCCCTCTTTGTTAGGAGGGAAAGGGAACTGACGGGTGAGTTGCAGCATACGACTGACTGCATTTAGGAAATAAGGGCAAACAAGTCCGTTGCTCTTTGCAATGGCTTACAGTGTTTCCCCAAACAGACTAATCTGATTCAGTTTTAAAATATGGCACAGCATTTATTTTAAGAACACAATATGGAAAACAAATTAAATCTTTGCTAAAGCTTATTGTTGAGCAGGGCTGGAGGGCTCCCGTTGGTGGTGGCAGAACTGCTAGATAAAAAGGGGTAGGAGGGTTGTTTCCCTTCGTGGTCCAAGTCTCTGACCCTCGGGGCGCATTGCAAGGCCTGCCTGTTCTCCCAGCTTTTCAGCAGGCAGGAACATTTGGAGAAGCTCCCTATTAAAGCCTGATCGATTGGTAGGTGTAGAAAATCCATCATTTGCTACAATGCTCATTTTTCTCTACAGCTTGTTAGTATCACTAACGTACTTGTACTTCAAGGGGATGAAAGAGGTATCTTTTATTTACATATTAAATTTTTTTTAGACACTCAAAAGAAATCTTATTGTCTTAGGTTATCCTGGCTCTTTCCAGAGCTGCAGAGCAGAGTGAGACACCAACTCTGATGCAGAGAAAGGACCCCCCCACCTCGATCTGCCCAGAGTCTGGGAGGCTGTGATTGCATTTTCATGAATAAATCCTAGGCGAGTGAATGGTGGTACTTTCCCATTTATTTGGGAATCAGTGTGAAAAAACAAACAAACAAACAAGCTATTTGCTTCACAACAAAACACATGAAAACGAACTGCTGTTCATACTCAAAGGCAGTTAATTGCATGCACAGTTTAATTTTATTCTTTAAAATAAGACTCTAAGATTGAGTCTCTAACTAGGCAAAAGAAAGGAAAAAAAAAAAAAAAAAAGAAAAAAAAGAGAGAAAGATGGCACTGATACCTAAAGAAATACTACCGGCTCCAATGTAAATATGTTTGCAGTTTGCAAGAGACCTGCCAGTCAAGCAGCTGTGGGAGGTAACAGGGGAGAACGTAAGAGAGGAAAAAGTCTTGTGGCAACAGTGGCCAGTTTCATTATGGCCACTGCCAGACTGTGAAACAACTCTGGGGGCTTGAAATCCTATTGCCTATTAAAACTGGGCATGACAGCTCTTTTTTATGCTTCACCAACCAGAGATGGAACTGTGTCCTAGGGGAAATAAGGAAAAATATTTATTACAAGTGTTTAACACCTTTTAGTACAAAACAACCCTAATATGCAGCACTCAAGGATAATTCATGCCAGCACATGTAAAACCAAGGGGAATCGCTTATCAGCTCAATAATTTGGTCAGAGCTTTTAAAGGAGAGACGATGTTCCAGTCAAAACCCTGAGCCCAGATTTCTCTGAAGTGGAGTTACTTCAATTTTTTTTTAATATTATTTTTACAATTTCTCAGTAATCAACACAAGGGTCTGACAACAGACCCATCCCAGGGACTGCATAGCTGCCTGACTTGAGCTGAAGATTGGCCGTTCAGACTGGAGACTCGCCTGCCCCTCATGCACAGCAAGAGCTGTTGGCATATTTAAGAAAGCGGCAGAACAGTTAGGGGTGGATCTTGAACAGCCCATGAGGCTGAGGTTTAAACTGCTTTAAAGGCTTATTTGAAAAAAATGCACCCTGAGTTCACCTTAGCTTGCAAACAGCCTGGAATTACAAGGATGCTCCAGTCAAGAGATGTATTTCAAATCTTTCCCAATAAAATGTGTGTGTTTCGAAGCAGCAAAATATAAAATTAAATTCACCGCTTTCTTACACAAACCTACGCATTACGACTTCCCAGCTGAAACCTTCCCAGGTGGAACCTAGAGCTCACGTGGGGAGCTCCACCACGCACTGAGCGCCAGAAGGAAAAACCTCGAGCACTTTCAAAAGGCTGAGCTCAAAGCTCTTCACGCCACCGGCTGCGTGTCCTCATTTTATAGATAGTGAAACGGAGACGCGGAACAGCGGCACCTCCTCCCCAGGACCCCCCACCTGCCCACTGCAGAGCCAGGAACAGCACCCGGCCCTCCAGCCCCCTGCCCGGGCGCCGGGCCGCTGCCAGCCCTCTGTGTTACTCATTAACACTCGCCGTTACTCGTTAACAGCCCGAGCAAGGGCTTCCTGCGCAGCCCTCACACAGCCCACGGTTTATATTGCACAATCGACACACTGCTGCCATTCCCGTTTTATTTCCTAGAAGAAACCTTGCTTTCTGGCACCCTTTTGCATCCTTGCGAGTGACCGGAGCTGATATTTTAAAATACTGTTTACCCAGCCATTTGCTTTACCCCAAACCTGAGGGGAACCACGGAGAAATTGGAAAAGTCCATCCGTGGCGAGGATTTCCCCCTGCCCACGAGCCAGGTTGCTCCCTCCTCGGTGCTGGTGCACGCCGTCAGAAAGGGCCTGCTCCTTAAATGGTGTTTCTGCCCTTCCAGAAATTTCCAGAGTGTTCAGCAGCCCTTCACCGAGGCCACAGCTGGCACAGGGCAGCAGGGGACGTGCTGGGAAAAGAGCAGGTCGGGGGGGTGCGGTGGAGGGGCAAGGGGGGGAAACCTGGCTCTGCTTGGAACGACCCTGCGCAAAGGGCCGGGCAGATGGGCACTGCTCGAGGCCACGTAAACTGCTCCTTACTCTGGGCTCTTACTCCTACTTACTGGGGTCCGCAGCCCGTGGGCCAAGCGGGGCCCGGGGGG